CTCTGTTCCTGCATCTGCTCCTTCGACTATTGAAATTGAAGATCCACCTCCACCACCACCGCTCAAGAGATCTACTCGTCTTGTCAAGTCCACCAAGCTTCTAAAATTTGCTTACTCTACATACTCAGGACCATTTGCTTCATTTATAGAGAGCATCCATCATCCGTCTGAACCTGAATCGTATAGAGAAGTTGTTTTAGATCCTCTTTGGCAGAATGTTATGGCTGAGGAACTCATCGCTCTTCATCAGACTCATACATGGGATTTAGTTTCCCTTCTCTTGGGAAACATACAAGAGGTTATCGTTGGGTGTACAAGATAAAAGCAAAAGCTGATGGGTCTGTTGAGCGGTACAAGGCCAAACTTGTAGCAAAGGGGTATTCCCAACAATACGATTTTGACTATGAGGAAACATTTCCCCAGTTGCAAAGATGACGACAGTTCATACTATGATTGTAGTTGCATCCGTTCGACAATGGAAGATCTTTCAAATGGATGTCAATAATTCATTTTTGAATGGCGACCTCCATGAAGAGGTTTATATGACTCCTCCCCCAGGAATTCAACACCAGCCGGGTGAGGTTTGACAGCTTCTCAAAGCTTTGTATGGTATCAAGCAAGCTCATCGTGCTTGGTTTGAGAAATTCTCCACAGTGATTACTTCTCTTGGATTTGTCCAGAGTAATCATGATTCAACTTTGTTTGTTAGATGCTCGAGTGCAGGACAGATTCTTTTGTCCTTATATGTGATGACATGATTATTATTGGTGATGACCATGGTGGTATTGAGTCTTTGAAGCATGATCTAGCTCATCGATTTGATATGAAGGATTTGGGCTTGTTGCGTTATTACTTGGGTATTGAGGTAGCTCAGTCTAAGAAAGGGTATCTTCTTTCTCAGACTAAATATATATTGACTTGTTTACACGGGCAGACCTCTCTGACAATCGGACTGTTGATACTCCTTTTGAAACCAAGGCACTGTATTCTCCTACTGATGGTGTTCCTTCGTCTGATCCGAATCTTTATCGCGCTGTTGTGGGAAGTTTGGTTTATCTCACAGATACTCGTCCAGATATTGCTCATGTTGTTCATGTTGTCAGTCAGTTTGTTACTGTTCCTACCTCTGTTCATTGGGGAGCTGTACTCCGTATTACCTTCGTGGTACTCAGTTTCAAACCCTCTTGTTTCCCTCGACTTCTTCTCTTGAGTTGTGTGCCTATAGTAATGATGATTGGGATGACGATCGTCATGATCATAAATCCACCACTGGATTTTGTGTATTTCTTGGAGAGTCTCTCATTTCATGGAAGAGCAAGAAACAGGACGTTGTCTCTAAATCTTCCACGGAGGCTGAATATCGTGTTATGGCAGTGACTACATGTGATATTATCTGGTTACGGTGGCTGCTTGCGGATATGGGAGTTCACATTTCTTCATCTACTCCCCTGCATTGTGATAACAAAAGTGCGATACAAATTGCGAATAATTCTGTTTTTCATGAGCGGGTGAAGCACATTGAGATTGATTGCCACTTTACCCGTCATCACCTACAACTCGGGATCATATCGCTTCCGTTTGTTTCATCAACCTTGTAGCTTACATATATTTTTACGAAAGCTCTATCGGCTTCTCGGTTTCGGTTCTTGTGTGACGAACTCTCAATGCTTATTGTTGGTGGTTGTCGAGGCCAACAAAATTAATACCCTAAATATTACACACTAAAATAGTGTATAGTGGTAAGGGATCGTATCCACGGAGATTGGTTCAATTTAATAACTCTATGAAAAATCTCTTTGTAAAAATACTTGTAAAATGTCAGTAAAAGTAAAAATGGGGGTTTGGTCTTTTGAAATACTTGAAATAAACTAGAATTAAACTAAGATTTAAATGGATAATTTCGACAAGAATAAGAGTTTGATGTAAAATCAATAAGAGAAAGATGGTTGACTTAAGGTTTCCTCACTTTAACTTTTGATGAACATATCATTAGAATCCAATGGTGTAATACTTGTTTTAAATCCTTAATTTGGCTATAGTAATCCAAGAAGCTTGAGATTACCTAGACTTTTCTTAGTTGTTGAAATGGTTAGAGAAGCTCATAACAATTTTCTTAGTCAAAGTCACAAATTCCATTAAGCATGTAATTAGTGAAAGTCAACTAGCATTAAGAATTAAAAAGTCACCAAATCCAAGAGGAGTCAAAACTTTCCACTACCATGTTGGAGAAAATGTTTTTATGATTGTGTGAAGTAAAACTAACAAAAAAATCACTTGTTGCTTGCTAATTTAAAGATCCTTTACTTAATCAAGAAATTAGCCAACTAATCACCACAAACACATTTAAACTCATGAATAAAAACATACAAGTAGTGATAAGATGTTAAAACACAAAACATTCCCATAAAGATTTAAGAACAAGTTCATGGATTCTTCAACATTCAACAAAAGTTCAAAGGATTCAACAAAAGTCAACCAAGATTTGTTTAGCCAAGCATGGCTAAACTCAAATAAACAAAGTTAGATAAGATTGTACCAAACATTTGACAAGAATCAAGAGATGAAAAATGAAGTTATTCAAGGTTTTTGGTCTTCAAAATGCTCCAAATTCTCCAGAGAATAAGTGTCAAAATCGAATGGTTAAGATAAGGCTAAAGAGGCACACCAACCTTCCCAATATAGAGCTCTCAACAAAATCCCGAAATTTCCCTTTCAGGAATCCACACGGGCCGTGTGAGTGTGACAGATTTTGGGCTTCTTCAAGTCTTAGGCTCCCACAGCTATTCCATTGGCCCAGTTCGAGTCTAATCAGCTTCTAGCCTATTTTTCTTCAAGATTTCATCAATTTAAGCCCAAATTGCCTCCCTAAATCACTCAAAGCTTCCGCAAACTCTCGATCATCGATCTCCGCACACTTGAAAATTCTCCCGCGCCTTGTAATTTAAAATTCAAATCTTCCAAGCCTTCAAGCAATTGACAAGCCCACTCCATGAATCAGCTCCATAGCCATCAAGCTCGAAATCCCCATTGCCCTTCAAGTCCAATCACCTCCCAAAAATCCCGCTCCGCTAGTCTCCAAAAATCTACAATAATGCTCAAGAAACTAGAAAGTACCCGAAATGCTCATAAAATAACAAAAAGGAAAACATGCATGGAAATTAACTAAAATGCGAATGAAATGTGCTAAAATAAATTATAAAAAGAAGTAAATAAAATGAAGCTATCAATTGTTGTGACATTGTAAGTTTGAGGGGGGATGTTAGTCTATATATTATTAGACCACATGTTTATGGGCCCTTTAGTCTTTATCCCATTAGGGTTTTGTCTAGCTAGTATTTATATCCGCTTTATTTTTTGTAGCCTTTATGCTTTTCATTGAGAACCTTGTAACTTCTCTCTATCATAATCATGTAGCAATGTTATCAATAACTATCTGCAAGACACCGCATGTACGTTTTATCATATTGACTTTCGAAGGTCTTCCAAAACATTTAAGAACATTCCAAAGTATTTGAAACATTCTAAAAATCTTATAAAGTTATCTAGGAAACACGATCTTCAAGGTAAAGTCCAATAGCACCTGGAATGGGTATGTTGGATAACCAAAATAAGTTTACAAAATCTTGCATAAATTTAGAAAGGGTCATGATGAGGATTCATAATTTTACCAAAACGGCCTACACACCTCTAATCCACTCACATGATGTTTTTCTTTAATTATATGGCAATTTGCCGAACATTGCAAAAAAAAATTGTTCATTGCAATTTCAAGTAATAGAATCAAATCCAAACATTTTGACTGAAATATAAGTTTCATAGTTTTTCTTAGAGTTTTAAATTTTAAGTTATTTTACTATCTTTTCATTTATAGGTATTGGATTTCAGAGTATATCTCCTCGGTGAGGTTTGAAGGCTGGAAAAGTTAGAATAAAAAACCGAGAAGAACTATACAAGGAGAACAAACAAGTAACTCAAGGACTATACAAACATGTCAGATTGCAAAAGCATAAGGGAAAATGACCCGTCAAAAATTTGCTTTCCTGTTTTTTTTAATAAAAATGAGTTTTTTTCAAAAAACTTTATAAACATGAACTTTTCTATATACAAAACGATAGTATTTTAATAAAACTAGACGAATATCCGCGCGTTGTCGAAAATACAACTATATAGTTGAAATATTTACAAACATATTGTTTTTTTTTAAATATAGCAATGACGTTGTTGCTAACTTCGATATAATAATTCTTATACTAAGTTTTATATAAAACATTGATTATTTTGAATTATATGATAAGATAAACATCTATTAATATATAATATCAATCGGATTAATTGTATTTACACGCAGATCACTCATGAATAAAATTAAATATAATATATGGTTTAATGTAATTTATAGTTGTTATGATTAATTAATTAAAAAAATATTCACTTAACATTTTAATTTATATCATTGTAATTAAATAAAACACAAACCATTGGTTTTTTAAATGTAACAATATAATTTTTTTTTATCTAATGTTACTTTTAAATATTGTTGTCGTACACTTATTGTTAAACTACTTATTTGAAAACTCTTAATGATTATAAAAATAGTTTTAGAAATGTTTTCGGTTATTATAACTTAGACTTTGCATTTAACATTATAATTTATAACCTTTAACTATTTACGGATTTTTTTTTTTAAATTTCAATTTATGTTAATTATTTAACGTTATATTTAAATTAACAATTTAAGTATTTTATACAAAATATCGAAAAATTATGACTTTAAATCTACAATAATAATGTTAAAAGTTAGAGATATAATTTTATAAATAAAAGTAAACAATAATATTTTATTATTAAAATTTATTTAATTTAAAATTATAATTTAGATTTTATATTTATTTAACATTTTTAACTAACTTGTAATATAATTAGAAACAAATTGAAAACAGAATTTAAGATGTTTTAAGTTGTAGTAAAAAAGATATTAAAAATATAACAGCTAAAAATTTGCTTAAACAAAATCATAAAACCGGTTTTCTGTTTTCACTTTCATCTCTCTCAGTTGTTTTCTTCGTCTACACAAACCCTAGCCCAGAAAGTGTATGATTTCGACCACGTAGCCTTGAATATGGATCAATTTGGTGGAGGAAACTGGAATATGATCCCAACCATGCCAACTCATAGCAACCCTACCACGCCATCCAACCAGGATCATCTATATCTCCAGCAACAGCAACAATTTCAACAGCAGCAGCAATTTCATCAACAACAACAGTTTCAACTGCAACAACAACAGCAGCAACAACAGCAGCAACAACAACGGTATCAGATTTCTCAACAACAGCAACAGCAGCAACAACAACAACAACAGCAACAGACTTCACAATCACTGGCTTCACACTTCCACCTCCAAAACGTACGCCCTTCTTCTCGATATCATTAAACTCTAATCGTAGAATTTGCATTTTGATTATTGGCCGAGTCATCTTGATTTCATTCTTATAGTTGGTGGAGAATTTAGCAGATGCGATTGAGAATGGAACTCGAGATCAGCATTTTGATACACTGGTGAGTGTTCTTAAAAGTAAATTTCCCCCTTTTGTAATCCAATGTGATCTATGTTTTGTGTTTTGACATGCTGCTATTACAACTTCTATGCATTATTCTATTGTACTTAAAGTTGATCGTTTTTCTGAGACGACTTGCAATCAGAGCCCTAAAAGTTACCAATTTTCCAACTTAGGGTTTTTCATTGGTTCTGTTCTGTTTTGTTTGTACTGTTCTCATAAATCACATGACATTTTGTTTTTCTTGAAGGTTACTGAATTGAGCAGCCACTTTGAGAAATGTCAGCAGCTCTTGAACACCATATCTGGATCTATTGCCACCAAAGCTGCGGTATGTTTGTTGCTTGTATATAATTTGAGATGTTACCTGTTGTTTGTTCTATCTGTTATATGCAAATCGGATAATATGAAGTAGAATGAAAGCATGCTAGATATGTTCCACCAAACGATTGAGAGAAACATTCTTTGAGAGCAAAAATGATATAATTCTGATTTCTGAATCATTATTCTTCTTTGGGATTATTTTAGACGGTGGAGGGACAAAAATGTAAAGTTGATGAAGCTGAACAAATGCTAAATCAAAGAAGGTATGGGGTTTGCTATATTCTATTCATAGTTGTAATTTTTATTATTATTATTATTATTATTATTATTATTATGTTTTATGATTCCAGGGAACTAATTGCAAAGTACAAAAATTCTGTTGAAGAACTTACAAAGTCTGATTTGTAAGTTAATTGAGTATATCAAGAAAGTAGGGTGTCTTTGTTAAAATCTTGCTTGAGAAAAATGAGTAATAGGTACATTTAATTGGATGTTTTGAGTGTAAATCTTCACTAACTGTGAGAAATGAATTTAATTGGATGTTTCTTAAATAACAATTTCAGTATGCCATATCATTTTAATTGGATTCATATCAAATTATGTTATCATTAACTATGCCATGTCATCAAAAGTATAATATTCTAATGAGAAATAATTTGAAAATACAGTTTTATTTTATCATAAGAAAAAAGTGCTATAGTTTTGTCTTAAAAAGGTCAAATTTTTTAATTAGTGTATATCCATGTTTTAGTCTAAAACTTTTGGTAGCTTATATTGCTCTGTAATCTATATTATAAAACAACCATCCTTGTATTCTGCAACTTCACCAAAACACTTGTTTTGACAAAAGATACAAGTAGATAAACTTACTTTAACCACAAATTTTAGATGTAAATGTACAAGTAATAGAAGATAATATGGAGGTTTACCAAAAAAAAATTGAACAAACTACCTAGCTACAAAAATATCAAAGAAAATCTTACAACTACCAAATCTGGCATAAGATGATTATTATACATCCTTCCCCAGTGGATCAACAACATACACCATTATATTCAATAACTTTTAACCTTTTGAGCCACAACAAATTTGGATGAGGGGTATCTATAGTGTAAATGAAATCGGTTTTAACTTTTTGTTACAATTTTGCTTGCTTACATATGGTTCCTATTTTGAACTTTTGGTAGCCCTCAAAACCCCCAGAATGTATTTAAAATTAATATAACTAGAGTGATGTTATCCCAGGAGCATAATTTGATGTAGTGTTATTTCTCACACAACGATGTGTTAACATTCTAGGACATTATTATTTAGCCTTTGTAGAGCTATTGGAAGATATTTATACCCCTTGTGTAATGGTCAAAGTAGTCAAATTTCAAATGAAAGGTAAAACCTTCCAACATATGCCCCTTGTTTAATGATGGAACCTGGAAGTAGTCACAACATATGCCCCTTGTCTAATGGTGAAAGTAGTCAAATGTTAATGAAGGGTAAAACCTACAAAACATAAAAAGTTATGTGGTCAAAGTCTCAAACCCAAAATATATTATTGCTAAATTGGTTTTGATATATAGAATAATTTATGAGGGTAACCAAGTTTTCTAATTGTACATATTTAATCATTTTTTATTTACATATTTCACCAATAAACTTATATAAAGTATAAAGTGTTCAAAAAATATCATTATAACCGACAATTAAAGGTTTTTTTATATTTTTCCGGCAACTAATAAAGTTGTGAGGGTAACCAACTTTTGTAATTGTAAACATTTACCATGTTTACTTTTTTCATATATACTTGACCTATAAATTTACTGTTAAGACCAAAGTTGGCTAAAAGCTAGTATTTTAAATGTCTCTAAACTTAACTTTATAAAAAAAATCCAATAAGCATACCGAACTTTGTGATCCAAGAAGCGCATCCAATCATCACTTTGAAAACCTACCATTTATGCAAATTTTGAGAACGAAGTTTCAACCGTGTTATAACCTATAATCTAGTAAGTCATACTCCGTACTACCTTAGACGATATCCAAAAAACTTTGGGATAATACAAAAAAATAGATGACTTTAGCGCTCAAATATACAAAATTATAATGTCATTGTCAAGTGACGTTTGAAACGTACTTTCATACTCACTGTTGCACACATTTAGTTATGTAGGAAAAATGTAGAAAAAAAAAAGTTGGGGAATGAAGTTGTCATATATATTTATTTTTGTGATTGCCGTTCAAAAAGAAAAATAAAAATAAAAAAATTATTAAAATGTTAAAAATTAAAAATCTGTGAAAAATTGTTTGCTGATCATGATTTTTGAACACTTAAAAAAAATATGTAAGGTTATGATTAAATACATACAAAAGAAAAAGGAAAAGGACTAATAATTTTTCAAATATTAGTTAAATACATATAAAAGAAAAGATTTATTCCTAAATGTGTACGCAAAACTTGGTTAACTTATTTAAAATCACACATGCACATAGATTGAACTTACACAGTCAAACACATTGAACATACAAGTTTGGATTTTTGATTTCCTTTACTGTTTGATGAGAAAGTTTCCAAATCTTTTCACTCAGAATCAACAAGCTTGATGATCATTGTTTCTCCTTCAAATTCGAGGTGTTTCCTTCATATCTCCTGTGCATTAGTTTCAAGGCGTTGGATTTCCAATGGCTACAGCTGCCACACCCTGTTTGAACCATACACACTCAATGAAGCTTTTGATCACTTCGATCATCTTCTACGAGGTTGCACCAACTCCAGACAATTCAAACAAATACATGCTCAAATCGTGCTATTGGGTGGCTTGTCAACCGCGTTCTTGTCCTCTACGCTCGTATCTGTCTATGGAAGATTCGAACGTCTCTGTGATGCTCGAAGAGTTTTTGAAGCTGTCCCAACTGAATGCCTTTTCAGCAACACAATTATTTGGAATTCGATGTTAAGAGCTAATGTCATGAATGGCCATTGTCGAGGAACCCTTGAGGTTTATACCCGCATGAGGCGTCTTGGTGTTTTAGCTGATGAGTTTAGTTTCCCTTTGGCAGTGAGAGCTTGCGCTAAGATGGGCCATCGATATTCATGCGCTTTAGTTCATAGCCATGCTTTACGAACGGGATACCAAGATAACCTTCACGTTGCAAATGAACTGTTGGCCGCTTATGGCAGACTTGGGCAAATGGCCCTTGCACACCAACTGTTTGACAAAATGCTTGTTAGAAACCACATCTCTTGGAACACTATGGTCTCCGGCTTTGCTTTCAATAATAACTCCAGTGGCGCTCTGAAGATCTTTAAAAGGATGGAACTTGATGGATGGGAGCCTGACCTTGTGACATGGACTTCTTTGTTGTCTAGTCATTCTAGATGTGGTCATCATCAGGAAACTTTGAGATTATACAATGTAATGAGAAGTAAAGGCATCAAAGCAACTGCTGAATCACTTGCTGTGGTTGTATCTGTATGCAATGATTCTAATAAGGGTAGTGAGCTTCATGGGTATGTCATAAGGGCTGGTCTTGAAAACTATTCATTTGCTAAAAACTCTCTTCTATGCATGTATGGAAGACACGGTTTTTTACAAGCTGCTGAATGTCTTTTTTCAGAGATTAAAACAAAGAGTTTAGAGAGTTGGAATGGTTTGATTTCATCATATACTCAAGTTGGTCTATGTGATGAGGCTTTCTCTACATTCTTACACTTGAAAAAAATCAGAAGGAAATATCACACCTAATGTAATAACGTGGAGTGATATTATAAGTGGATTTGCTTCAAAGGGTAGACATGAAGAATCTTTAAAACTCTTCAGGCAAATGCAAGTTGAAAAAGTGAGGCCTAATGTGGTAACAATATCCACCATGTTATCAATTTGTGCAGATTTATCTACAATTGTTTATGGTAAGGAAATACATTGTCATGTTATTAGAGGGTTAATTGATGATAATTTATTAGTTGGAAACGGGTTGATAAATGTTTATTCCAAATGTGGTAGCCTGAAAGAAGGGCATATAGTATTCAAGAACATAGTAAACAAAGATTTATGCTCATGGAACACCATGATTAAAGGATATGGGATGCATGGATTTGGTGAGAGTGCTTTAAAAACATTCAAACAAATGGTGAATGACGGATATACCCCTGATGGGGTTACTTTCGTTTCGTTACTTTCTGCATGTAGCCATGCAGGGCTTGTTAGTGAGGGGCGTGAGATATTTAAAAAAAATGAAAAATGAATTTGGGATTGAACCAGAGATTGAGCATTACACATGTATGGTTGACCTTCTTGGACGTGGTGGACTTTTTCAAGAAGCAAGTGAAGTAGTGAGGAAGATGAAGATTGAACCTAATGTATGTGTTTGGGGTGCTCTTTTGAACTCAAGTAGAATACAAATGCAAATGCAAAAGAAGATAGATTGGGATGATGGGTGTGTTGAAAAGATACTTGAGGGTAGTTTTGGAAGTGGGAATTATATGTTGGTTTCGAATATGTATGCTGGAAGTGGTAGATGGGAGGAGTCTGCAAAAGTGAGAGTGTCAGCTAGGGCACAGGGTTTGACCAAAACTCCAGGTCAAAGCTGGATTGAATTGAACAAAAAAGTGCTTATTTTTACAGCAGGGGAGTTTGTGGAAAGTGAGATGAAGGAAGTTGAGATGGTGATCAAGATTTTGAGTTTTGAAATGAATATGAAGGAAGGGTATATTTGGCATTTGGGCTTTGAATGATTTTGATGACTTGGAAAATTGATTCTGTATATAAATGGGTTGGTGGTGTTTAATTTGTTTTGAGTTGTGAGTAGAAAGAAGATAACCGCATGAAGAATATTGAAATATGAAAAAAAAAAAAAAAAAAGCCAAAAGATGTAGATATGAAAATTTTGTTAGAACATATGAAATCTTTGACACGTATTGAGCTTAAGAAGGGTTGTTGTTTTCCTGTTGGGAATATTTTTCTTTAACTCAAAGCAAAACTTAAGAAGCTGGTTATCTATAATAATGATTATTGCAAGTGTAGAATTCTTTGTTAAAAATATACTTATAAGGTAAATTGCACGAAATAGTAACATACTCTGTCTTTTAACCTTTAAAGCAATGAATTTACAATTTTCTACCAATTATATAAAATATTAAAATATGTAAAATATTAAAATATATATTATGTGGCATCTTAACAAATAACAACTCACTGAGTATGTATTAGGTTGTAAGTGTATTTAAAGTGTGATTTTGTTGGTTTTTGGTGAAGTGAATTCAATTACCAACTATAATTACATTCATGTGGTTTGTTTGATTTTTGAAGAAGACACGTCACACAGATTATACATACATATAATTATTGTCATATAAACAAATAGTTGATGTTAAAGAGTTTAGAGAGTATATATACAAACTTCAAACTAAATCAATAAGCATTCAATAAATCAAAATTTTCATGCAAACTTCTAAATTTTCAGTTTCAGATTACAAGAGTTTTTCAAACAAAATCCATAAGCATACAATAAACAAAATAAATAGGACAAAGTAGGTTGTTATTTGATGCAGTTTTTCATCTTCGGCGCCTCATCCTGACTTCTGGGAACTTAAGAGGAGCAGGAAGAGTAGCCAACATTATACTATTCTCCCTTACAAACTTACATCCCAAAAACTCAAAATGACGCCTCAAATCACCAGTTGACATTCTCAAATCTTTAGCTATGTCTGAAAATTCGGTTTTGAAATTATCAGCAAACAGAGTAAGCACAAGAACATAGCTAATTAACAGATCTCTTTTGTCATCAGCCAGCCTTTTTGATTCTTGATTGGCAAACATATCATTGAACTTCTGACTCAATATATTTGGCAGCTTATGATCCTTTGCAGAAGAAAAACCATCCATTGAATGCTTATCTTTAAACTTTATAAGATGATTGATATACGAAAATATGCATGCCAAACTCTCCTTCGCCTCCTCATCCTACAATATCATTAAAAGAAATAAGAAACACCCTTCAAAAAAGACAATGTTTTCAATGGCATGATTGTAAATATTATACCTTGACCTCCTCAATCTTATGAATTCTGTTGCAAATAAAAACAGGGAACCCTTGTGTTGTTATATCCACCCCTTGTTGTAGAAGCTCCATAATGTCTAGAAGATATCTCCACTCTCCCTTGAATATAATCTTTTGTAGAGGATAAGCTTGCTGAGGTGTCGTTGCTGACATGTCATGGGGTGGAATATTACGCGCACTAGTAACTGTTGCACCAACTTCTAAAGCTTCCTTGTTAACTTTAGCTTCAGCCATTTTGTTATTAAGATCTTCTTGGGCCTCAGGGTCACGGTTTGCACGTAGGGCCCGCTCTTTCTTAGCCTATAGTATCATTAAACAAACAAAAAATGAAAAAAGAAATTAATATTAAAAAGAACTGATTAACTTAATTGAAATGTTAGAAGAAATAACATGTTTTGCATACCGCTCGTTCAGATTTCTTAGTTGAAAAGTTGTATTTTGCTTCGGTATCTTCTGCTGTAACTTTATTTTCATCTTCTTTAACAGTTTCATCTACCGGATTTTCTTGATTCTCAAACTTTGGTTCCAATCTAAAGATCTGATTGAAGAAAAGGAAACCACATTAACACAAAGAACATTGTCTATGAAGTTATAAGATAAAGTAAAAATGTAGAATACCTTGTTGGCTTCAATCTGAACAATCTTGAGTGTCTGAGTCTGTTTATCAAGAACCCCAAGAGCATAAGAACATACCTGAGGAACTGCTCCTTCACCAGAATAATTGGTGCCAATGAAATTCATCTGAGAAGATTGATTAGGGCTTACAACAAGTTGTAACCTATTGCTACGTTTCACGTTTTTTAAAACCCTAATTTTAGGTTTTTCTGTTCTTTGGCGCTTTTCTGGGTCATATCCAGATGGGAAGTATCCAATTAAAGGTAAAGATTTGTCAGAGCTTCCATTGATGGTCTCAATTTTGACCTCAATTGTCTCATCTCTCTTGTGGATTTTCTTGTTTTTATGCTTCTTATTTGAAGATTGTTCAGGGGTTGTTTGGGGTTGCAGGTTGTTGTCTTCCTCCATTGAAAGATCCACCATGTCCTTTTTGTGCTTCTTTCCCATATCTAAACAAATTGGATTTTAAGAAACCAAAACTAAAATTAGCAAAATCTTTACTAACAGAGTAACAGTAAATAAATAACATTAACATTAAATGGAGAGTGTAGAAATCAAAGACAGTATAGATTAAATATATGATCGGGTTGGCTCAAATGGTGTTGAATACAAGCAACATCATAATTCTAATAGGTGCTTAGTTGATTAACTGGTGTAAACATTTAGAATTAGACTGACATTTAAGCCATCAAATTAGTTCAAGGTCTCTTTCTACTTTCTTTTGGCATTTTAGTCATGAAATTAGTTCACGGAATGCCGACTGTGGCTCCGATTAAGGATTTAGTTGGCTGAAGTCTCAAGTCTGAAGTATGAACAACAAACAAGGCAGTGGCCCCGAGTAAGGATCCGATTAAGTTTAAGTCACGCAAAAAATAATAGCAATCAACCTGATTAAGGCTCCAATTTGCGGATTATGTCATGGAATGCCGACTGTGAAACTCGAACTCTCGATTCTCGAAGTAACCACAAGACGAAAAACGTAGAAAACAAAGAATAATATCAAACCTGAGATGGAGGGTGGCGCTGGTGATGATGGTCGGTGGGGTGCCGGCCTGTCGCAGACGTAGGGTGTTTCGTGAGTTGGTGGAGGGCGGAGGCTGGAGCACGAATAAACCTTGCGTATCTACCGATTACGGGTAGTCCGGTACCGGTAGTATACCTAAAGAAAGTTGGGCTTAGACTTCAAAATTCAATGTTTCGTTATCTCATAATTTGGGCCAAGTATTTAACACTTTTCAAAATTCAATGTTTCATTATCTCATAATTCTTGTTTATATATTCTTTATTAATGCATAAATTTGATCCAAGAGTATGTCAATTTCGTTGTGGCTATGTTTTTTTTTTCTAAAACTCACTTTTATTAATCGTGGCCTCCTTCAAGATTTTGTTGAATATAATCATATGATATAACATTATTTTATATATTAAGCACCTGATTAGATGTTTTCAAAAGATAATTACTTAAAGAAACTGTAAAAATGTCCATGTTGTTTGTATTTTTTCAGGAAAAATGTCTAAACCCTTCAAATTTTGGATTGGTAGTCATTTTCCATAGGTTTGGATGTACATTTGGTCCTCGTAAAATTGAAATGACTATTATACCCTCAAAGTTTTTTTTTCTATTTATAAATATTTTATTATTATTGTGTAACACCACAAAGTTAAGACCAAATTTTTTATTTTTAATTTACCAAAAATAAGTTTCATAAACCAAGTTATCAAACACATAATTGTTCAAAACACCATTATTACAAAATATCAAAGTTCCCAAATTGTCCTAGTAACAAATCTCTCAGCTAGTGTGTACAATCAGACATTTGTCTTCCCGCGGTCCTCAGAAATACCTTCCACATACAAGTCAACAACTAAAAGTTCGAAGCTTAGTGAGTTCCCCAAAATACCACACACAACACACCACCAATAAACAGTTATGGGTTATCAGCAATCTTGGGGACTATCAACAGTCCCAATGGGCTAACAGCACGCCCGATGAGTTATCGACAACCCTGGAGACTATCAATAGTCTCGGTCACATATAAACATCATAATACAATAATAACAGCTAGACCTAGCTGGTCATCACAAATACAACTATTCTACCATACAGGCTCATACACATGCAAGAGTCTCAAAGGCAGCTAGCATCCTACATACATAATTTAGTGAGCCGGCATTGGTGCCTTCGACTCACAAGCACCGGGAGAAGACTCACCTCTATTGATGATGCTGAAACAACACTCGATCTGCGGCGAACACTACTCCTCACGCTAACCCAAAACCAGAAACAACCCAATCAATAATTAGGGTTTAACCCAAAACCATGGCCTAGTTCATTCCTTACCAATATAAGGTCAAAATACCATTTTGCCCTTTTATACAAGCCCAACTAGACTAAGCTCAAGATCCCTAATGGCCCAAGGCCCAAAATCGACCCATTAGGCTTCTGCACAGAACGTCTGGCGTTCCTCCTTACAACGCCTAACGTCCGAACACTGAGCGTTCACATGCAAACGCCTGGCGTTTGCTCACTGTTCACCAACTTCCAAACCAATGACTTAATGGCTTAAGATATCAAGTCCAAACTTTAGATACATAGCTAATAGAACGTCTAAAGCCATAAAGTTGCAAACCTTATGGCCATGCATGGTTAGAATGACCCCAAAGGCTAAAACTCCAACTCCTTAACCCATTAAGACACCTCAAAACTTACATGGAATGAAAAGAAGGTCCAATATCATACTTTTAACACTTAATCTATCATAAAACGTCCAAAAGGACAACTCCTTTAGTCTAAGGTAGCTCTTACCCAAAAAGAGCAAGAAAATGGGGCTAATAAGCATAAACTTCTAACATAAACAAGATCTAGAGATATGATGATCAAGTTCAAAACTTTATACCACAAAATGATGTTCCAAGATGCCAAGAGTCCAGATCCACAAGCTTGAGAGCAACACCAACACTCCAATGATCTTCTTTCTCTATCAAGAACAATAAAATGATACCAAAAAGATGCACAAGGCTTCAAACTCTCATACACACTTAGTGTTTTCGACATGAGGATGGGGGTTGGAGTGGTGAAGGTTTTTGAGGCCATAATGTTCTTTAAATAGGATGCAAACCCTAAAAATTAAGGTTTGGTCTCTGCGTGCAAACGCATGGCGTCCATCATAGAACACTTGGCGTTTGAACGCCTAGCGTCCTACGCCAAACGCCTGACGTTTGGACCAAATACCTCATCATCGGGATGTTACATATTGAATAAAGAAAAGGCCTCACATACCCACCCACCCACCCCACCCCACCACGTCATCCCCATCATCTATCTCTCTCTATCAAACACACATATCCACCAATCACTCCCCAAATCCATATCCTCAAAACTCGTCACTGTCTCCCTCGCTGAAAGTGTCATCATCGGAGCAATCTTGCCCGCCATCTACTTCACTAGAACCACCATCATCGAAGCAGTCTTGTCCAGAAATCGGAACCAAAAAGAACCAAAATCAGATGTCTGTGTTCTTAAGGAGAGGATTTTTGTATGTCTTCTGTAACCTAAGAATCAATGATCCGAGGAGATTTTTTTTGCAGAAATCCAAAAGGGAAGAAATACCAGAGTTCTATCGAAATGACAAACCTCGATCATTAGCATAAGACATCCTCATGAATGATCGGAACATGACCCTACACCTTGATTGAGACTGAACAGATTCCACAACTACACAACTAGCTCGAGAAGACTTCTAAGGTGATCCTGAATGCTACCAAAACTTGAGCGTGCTATGAACCAAAATACCACACAACCATTGAGGGTAAACATACCCAAAGACCAAAGGAACATAAAACATATTGAACTTAATGATAGGTTGACACATCCATTTAACTTCAATTGTCACAACTTGAAAGTTTCGGAGAACCTTCGTTGGATGATGAACGAAACGACCAATGATCGAGAACGCATTGACATTAGATCTAATGAACCAAAACCCGCAGGGAGCTGAACGTACCCAAATCTGAAACTGATTTCCTGATCGATCTCTGCCCAAGCTAGACAATAAATAGAAATCTATACAACAAGCTGACAATTCCCTCAACAACCGATACTCAACCTGAGTGATCCTAGCGGCTCCTCATCTATTCATTGGCACCCCCAAAAGGAACCAATAGTTGCAACAAGATCCTTGACCAACTACTTTCTGTTGGGAGACAACTCATGTATCTCCTGAACACACACATCCGATCGCCACTTACTCTATACCCCTACCTTGACCTAATCCTGAACCGAGATTCCACATAACCGCACCCCAGTTCCCTATGAGTCATTCTTCCAACATCATGAACTCGAACAAGCAGAATACCCAGTTCTCCCCCACTTAGGATTCGTACTACCACCCACTGGTGTTGAAACCAAACCATAACTCAAACCAGCTCAACCAGGTACACACCATCACTGACTCTTGGAATGCATAACACACTCAGGGTGATCTTCCATATAAGGACCAATCAAATCCTAAGAGAATATCGGATTCCAGCTGAAGACCTATGAAATTTTCCAATCATAACCACTTAGCATTAAGCAATTCCTGCAAATGTATAAACAAAACACCAACTTACTATCCTAGACATACATTCTTCTCCTGCGATCCCGACCGACAATCCGGTACCTGGCCTGCCTAAATCCAAAAAACACGGACCCTTGATCGCATCACAAAACATCCATACCACATCAATCCTACTGTGCACTCCCATGCTGACATACTGTCTCCAAACATCGCGATCAACAGACCCCATGCAGGGTTTACATCCTAACTCTGATAGCCACAAGCGTGCTCACTCCTTCTCCGAACTCGGAAAACTGAAAGGGCATAATCCTTGCCATATATAGCAATAATCCAATCCATCAATCAACCACTCAACTTCCAACTGCAATCCCCAAGTCGATCATAACAATCGTTTCCTTCTTGAGTCCCGCGACTCATTGCACGACCTCGAGCAAAACCCTCGAGACCTCCAAACCAACATACTCATCAAGGTCTACACCATTCCACCCAAACCGACATCGCCACTAAGGCCCAAAACAATTACCAGACCCATCCTCATGCCTGAGCAACCATAACCAAAAGACTGACAGATACATAACTCTTGCCACGAATCATGGTATCAAACCATGTTATCTTCCCCGACCAGCCCTTAGAATCCCCGAAACTCTCCTCGATTCGAGTATGAATCCCATGCTTCCAGTAGTACGGTACAAATACTACCTTCCACACTTATCTATACTTTCCTCAAGGATCATCTCGGGTCCTCTAAAACGTACTCATAATAATACTCCCAATACCTGCTCCACAGCGTAGCAATCACACTAAAATACTTCCTAGGCTCTCCTAGGATTCCCTACCCCCTGCCATCAGCTGTTGAAGGACTCCAATCAATGTGAGCCAAACACTTCATGAATACAATTACATGCAACAAAACTTAAATAATTATTCGACTAAAGGACCCAAACCTACACCGGTTAGACTCGAACGAGAGCTGCGCAATAGGGACAAATCCTTCACTCTAAGATTATTTAACCTCCATAGCATGTAACTTAATGTATTCATTTGATAGTCAGCCCACATCAATATGAGTCACAAAACACAATGCAAGCAACATTTGAGCAGTGAAGTCGAGTGGCACTAAGACACAATAAAATCAGGCAGATCCTCATACGAACTTATCGATCTCCAAATCCCAACATCTCGGATACATGTTCATCCTGACCTCACTCTCTCAAGAGTGGCTAATAATTCTCATGTTGGCCCGCCATGTACTGCACCCACTCATGAAACTTCCACCAACCCTGCAGCACTCGTGTATGCTAATCATATATAACACTAGACCCTATAGACAGTCGAATACTTGATTCTACCCTAAGCCCTTCATCAAACAAGAACAGGAAATAAGGCTAAACCAAACATTCTCAGGATATAGAATCTTAGTTATGTACAACTATGATGCATACACTAAGCAACTACAGTTATGATGTCAATTCCATATAAGAAAGAAACCCTAGGATACTAGGCATCATATAATCATGCAATTTTATCATGCAATTCTTGAAGATCCTTAGCCTATCACTAGCATATTGTTCTAACATATCACAACATCAAATAACAGTGTGGTAATTTGGTTCTACTTACTGGCTCCAGCTGATTATACACATCGCATCCTCTTTTGGTTATTTTGAAAACAACTTTGAAAATCATTTTTTAAAACCCTTTCCCCAAGTTTTAGAATGGATGAACACAAATGTTCCTCCAATTCACTCAAACCAAGGCTTTGATACCAAATTGTAACACCTCAAAGTTAAGACCAAAATTTTCATTTTTAATTTACCAAAAATAAGTTTCATAAACCAAGTTATCAAACACATAATTGTTCAAAACACCATTATTATAAAATATCAGAGTTCTCAAACTGTCCCAGTAACAAATCTCCCAACAAGTGTGTATAATCTAACCTTTGCTTTCCCGCAGTCCTCGGAAGTACCTGCCATATACAAGTCAACAACTGTAAGCACGAAGCTTAGTGAGTTCCCTAAAACACCACACACAACACAACACCAATAAACAATTATGGGTTATCAGCAACCCTGGGGACTATCAGCAGTCCCAGTGGGCTAACAGCACGCCCAGTGGGTTATCAGCAACCCTGGAGACTATCAGCAGTCTCAGTCACATATAAACAACATAATACAATAATAACAGCTAACCCCAGCTGGTCATCACATATACAACTATTCTACCACACAGGCTCATACACATGCAAGAGTCGTAAAGACAGATAACATCCTACATATATAATTTAGTGAGCCGACATTGGTGCCTTCGACTCACGAGCACTGAGAGAAGACTCACCTCTACTGATGATAACTGAAACAACACTCGATCCGCGACAAACAATGATCCTCACGCTAAACCAAAACCAAAACAACCTAATCAATAATTAGGGTTTAACCAAAAACCATGGTCTAGTCCATTCCTTACCAAGATAAGGGCTGTTGAAATAATGTCCAAGGTCATTAACTATTGGTAATATTTCTAATAATAGCAGGGTCCTTTTGGGTTGCCCTCAAGACCCAAATTGAGTAGAATAAATAAAGGAGAATTGGTTTATTAATTATTATAGTTAATAATTAATTAGAAACTATTTGGAAATATATTTTGGAAATATATTATGGGAATTAATTAACGGTTTAACTAATTAAAGGGTTGAATGTTCATTAATTGATAGTTGGTTAATCAGGAATGTTCCAGAACCTTATGAAATTAGGGTTGGATGAAAATCACTCCATCCCACATGGGAAAGGAGTGAAATTTCGTGGTTATGCCTCCATCCCACATGGGAAGGAGTACTAAACCCTAGGAGGCATCCAAGGCTATAAATAGGGCCTTAGGGATTCCATTCCTCCTTGCACATTGGCTTGAAGTTTCGCCAACCCTTCTTCCTCCCCCTCTTAGGGACGATTTCTAACCCCTTTGAGTTTGTGAAATTGACCCTTCTCCTAGTTATTTTTATTCTACTCTTTGGTGTCATTGGGTGTGATACCATTAGAGGGATTCTGGTTTGGATCCTTTCATCCAAGCAGCTTCATGGAGGTTCAAGATCTCAAGCATGGAGATCAAGGGATACATAAGAAGTATGTTTTCTTACTTATGTTTTAATTTTCTAGGGTTAATGTAATTAGCATGAAGCCATAGATCCATATGATGCATGTACACTTAGGTATATCGTTGTTTCGATTTTTCCGCTGCCTAGTTTTAGAGTGTATTTGATGCGTAGAAAACCCAACAGTTGTATCAGAGCCATTGGTTCATGGTTACCTTCACCCTAGATCCATGTTTTTTGTAAAAACTTGTTTGAAACTGAATGGATGAAAGAATAATTGAAAATTTTGTAATGTGTTAAAACCCTAGTCGTAGCTCACGACGTGAACTTAGCAGATTCGGGATTTTCGAATTTTCCTTTAATTTTCAAATATGAAGCTTTGATAAACATGGATAAATACCTAATTTAAATTTTTTTGAATATGGAAAATTAATAAATATTATTTAAATGTGTTTATTTAAATTTGAATATTTATTTGGTAATTGATAAATATTATTTAAACATGTTTATTTGAATTTGGATATTTATCTATTATTTAAATAGTGAATTTAATATTTAAGATTATTTGTAATAGAGAATTATAAATTTGAATATTAACCCCTCATGATTTATTAATTGTTACATTGCGTGCTCGCAATTAATTAGAATTAATAATAGACAACTAAATTT